ACCACTCAACAGCATGCCCCGCATGGGAGGCCCAGGCAGGGAAGGGGGTGGGCAGGCCCCTCTGGCTGGGTGGCAGCTCCTAAGCCAGGCCCAGTGGCCTCAAAAGCCTCCCAGCCTTGGCAGGAGAAGCCCCTCTCTCAATAACCACACTCCCACCAAAGGCAGTGGGGGATAGGGAGGGGTGAAGAGAGTCTGGAGGCCTGAGGAGGTGGGAGTGAAGTGACCTCAGGGCCACCGCCCCCAGTAAGGACTCGGCACTGTGCTGACAGAGGCACCAGGAAAGTAGGACTCGGGGGTCCCAGAACAGGGCACCTGTCCACTTCAGCCCAGCAGCTCCTCATCACCCTTAGGATCTAGTCCAAACTCCTCCTGAAGCCCACAGGCCTCATGGCCACCTCTCCATCCTGGCCTCCTCCCAGCCTCACCCCCTCGTCCCTCCATTCCCTGCCGTTCTTTTGCATTTGCTGCTTCCTCCTCCATCTGTGTCCTCTGCTCAGTGGTCACTTCCTCATCTAAAGTAAACCCTATTCTTCATGCCCTTACCTGACACTGTGTGATACACCCATTTTCTATTGTCTGTGCCTTAATGAAGGTCCGTTGCTGGGGGCAGGGACTGTGTCTATCTCGTGGCACCATGGTGTTCCCAGGCCCCTAGATGACATCTGGCACAGAGCATCATGCCAGAAATATGGGTCGGAAGAATGAGTGAATAAGTAAACAAGTGGATAAATGAATGAATGAGCGACTGAATGAGAGTGAATGAGCGACTGAGAGTGAATGGAAAAGTGAGCAAATGAAGGAGTAAATGAGTTAGAGTAAGGGAATGAATGAGTGAATAAATGAATGAGTGAATGAATATGTGAGAATAAGTGAATGAACGAATGTGTGTGAATGAGTTGAGGGATGAGTCATTGAGTGAATGAATGAGTGAATAAGTGTATGTGAATGAGCAAGAAAGAGAGAGAGTACGTGCAAGCCTCTCTGGCTGGCCACATCTCTTTCGCAAAGGCCAAGGCCACTTCTTCCCCCTGGGCCTGACCTCCCCATTTCAGTGATACCAGTGCCTCCTCTACCCTCGGTGAGCTCAAGGACTAGCCAGGGTGCCCTGCCGAGCCATGCAATAGGAGGTCCATCTGCAGTTTGGTGCCACTCCCTCCTCTGGACGGTGGGGATAACAACACACCTACAGTCAGTGAGGGTGCTTGTGGGCGCAGGTGCAGGGATGTGGCCTGGCATACAGGGTGCACAGTGTCCGTACCGTGCATCACTCAGGAGCACTGTCAGGGACGACATGCGTGGTCTTTACAGTCACCTTGTCTCGGGCATCCAGAGTAGATGGGACTTGAGTGACCAGCCCATCGTATGGTCTTCATTTCATGGACCAGCATGGGGTGAGAAAGCTCTAGAGGCCCTACCATTTCACACAGATAAGCGTCACCCAGTGGATTGGCCTCTACAGGAAAAGCAGAGCCCCCCAGTTTTCCAGAACAAAACTTCAGCTGACAAAGAGGAAGCCTCTAGCGAGTAGGCGGCCTGTCTCCTCGCAGGTAGGGGCAGATGAGCCAGCTCCTGGAAGCATCTGGAAATGGGGGGGGAATAGAAGGGCCCCCACCACATACACACCTGCACCCCTCCCACCTTCTCCTCCTCCCAGTCTCAGCTGGGAGAGCAAGGAATTAGTCTTCCAGAATCACCGCTCCTTCCAAAGGCGTGAGCCACATGGGTGATTTTTCAAAGTGCTGCCAGTCGGTGAGATATTTCTGTCTAGGGCTTGACAGCGCCTCAGGTATGCAGGCTAGAAGAGTCTAGGACGAGTGCTTAGCTCAGCAAGTCCCAGACTTCATGAAACCAGCCTGCAGGAAGGCGGCAGCAGTGGCACCATAAATCACTCACCACCGCCCGCCCACCCATCCCCTCGGAGGCAGACTCCTGACCTCTGCCTGGAGCTCCACGGAAGAACCTGGCTCACCCTTAAAATGGTGGGGAGCAACCAATCTCTGGGGGATTGCAACCTTTGGGGAAGGCTAATCTTTATAAAGAACCCTGTTCCCCAATAAAAAAAAAAAAAAACCCATTGCCATCGAGTTGATTTCAACTCATAGCAAGCCTATAGAGAGGGTAGAACTGCCCCATAGGGCCCAGTATATATACTGAATATATTATGGACTGCCAGAAGGATGAACAAATCAGTCTTAAAAGTACAACCAGAATGCTTCTTAGAATCGAGGATGGCAAGACTTCGGCTCACTTACTTTGGACACATCACCAGGAAAGACCAATCGCTAGGAAAGGACATCACGGTTGGTGAAGCAGAGCGTTAGCAAAAATGAGGGAAATCCTCAATTTGATGGATTGACACAATAGCTACAACAATGGGCTCAAACATAGCAATGATCATGAAGATGGCACAGGACCAGGCAACGTTTCCTTCTCTTGTACATGGAGTCACTGTGAGTCGGAGCTCGCTCAACGGCAACTAACAAACCCCCAAGTGTGCCCATGTTTCATGGGGTGAGAAGACCTTTTAAGACCCCAACAGAGTGGCTCATGTCCTTTCCCTGATCTTGAGAGGCCAGTCCTCTGCTGTCACCCAAGACACTGGCCATCCCCTTGGAAAGCTACCTTTCATTCCCACCCTACTGTGACTGTCTGCAGACATGCTCTTCTCCTGCTGATCGGCGTGGCCATGGGACAAGAAGCATGAACAGCATCCCTGCCTGAGGCCAGCTGCAAGGCCGGGGAGCGCTGGGCTGGGGGCTGCTCCAGGCACACATGGTCCCACCAATCCGAGGCCAAGCAACTCAGCTTGGAAATGGACCAGCTCCTCAAACTCCTCTGTTTCTCTCTCACCGAACTCCCCAGTCCCTTTGAGAGACAGTGGGCAAGGCCCACACACAGAGAAACAAATGCCCAGAGGCTGAATGACTTGACCAAGGTCAGAGTCAGCTAGGAGTGAAGCTGGGGACATACATATTTAACCACAATCAAAAAAAAAAAAAAAAAGATTACTCATAGATCTCCAAAAGGATGTGTACATGGACATTAATTGTAGCATAACTCATAACAGCAAGTAACTGGAGAGAACCTAAATATCCATCAATAAAAGAATGATTTGTTTTAAAGATACATTTTGAGGACAACAGAGGGAATTTGAATATGGCCTGGTTATTTTTTGTTATCAAGGAAACTTTGTAAAGTATCTTAGGTAATAGTAGTACGTGCTTGTGTAGGAGAATATCCTTTTTAGGAGATGCATGCCGAAGTACTTAGGGTAAAGGGTCATGATGTCTACAACTTTCAAATGATTCAAAAAATTTATACAGAGAAAGCAAAGATGGCAAACGTGTTAACCATTGTTGACTCTAGGTAGTAAGTATAGGGGTATAAACGCTATCATTCTTTAAATTTTTTTATAATACAAAGTTAAATGGAAAAAAAAGAGAGAATTAAGAGGAGCTGGGCTTGAGCCCTGGTCTCCTGGCTCTTCATTCCACACTGTTCTTGCAGACAGCTCAAGTCATAGGACTTCCTTTCCCAGGACCCCTCAGCTGTCCAGTCATTCTGGCCATGGTATTGTCATGATGGCAAAGAGGAAGATCAGCTAGAGGCCGCAGAGCAGTTCACGCCTTCCTGGCCCATCCCAGCACGGGTCTCACCTCTGGGTGGTGGCTGATCTCCCAGCACGAAGTATTTGGCTGAGATTTTCATGGGGCTGGATGCCTTACAGTTGTTTGCTTGAGTAGGGCTGGACATTGGGGCGGGCCTACTATATAAGAAAGTCCAAATCCCTTGAGGCGAACACTACGCCATTTCTGTCGGGTCCTTAGAAGAGTCAGAGGCTGGTCTCCAAGTCTCAGGGGAGTGGAGCGCAACACGGACTAATCAAAACGCAAGGCCCAGGCACACAAACATGGCTGGGCACCCCCAACACCTGGCTTGTCTACGCTCATCCCCAGCAAGAGATATAGGAAAAGCCAAACCCATGCCCCACACAAGTCCCACCCAGGCGCATTAGCACTTTCTGGGAGATGTGGCTGGGTCACGATCGGAACAGCGCACTGGGGCAACAGAGTGATTAGTCATCTTCTCCACAAAAAGGAAGGTGAATTCCTGAAAGTACGGATGGGGTGGTGTGCTCTTTGTGAAAAGATGGTGGCCCCGATGTGGCCATGACCCCCGTTCAGTGGAATACAGCAAAGGACTGGGAAACCAGCCCACCTCGCTCCAGCCACCTCCTGCACAGTTCTAGTAGAATTCTGTGTCCTCAGCCCTCTCTGGCCAGGCCTGCATGGCCTCACCAGCCTGAAGGACTGGCACAGGCCACCTGAGTGTTCCCCAGTGTGTCCCCCAGGCACATTTCCCTCAAGGAGAAACAGGCTTACAATGGAGACGGAAAATATTCAAGAAAACTGTCAAAAGGAAAAAGTATGAAAGTTTAGTGTTTTGTACACTGATTTAAAAAACAGATATGAAATAAGGCCAGTATAAACACTGCATATCAAATAATATATCTGTATAAAATGCAGCAAGAAAAACATAATTTTATCACTTAAGATGATTCATAAAATGCATTTTGGTAAAATCAGTAAGTCGTTTTGTTGAAAGCAAATCAAGAGACTTTGTCGAAGGGACTCCTGTCTGCAGCACAGTGAAGCGACCTCATGTGCAGCCATGCGCGGGCAGCGCGCCGGCGGTGCCACTGTACACACCCAGGTCTGGGTCTTGCTCTGTACATGCGGTGTTGGCAGCAGCCTGTCTGGACATGAGCATCACAAACAGGGCATGGTGGTCTCTCCACTCCTTGGCCAAGTTCACAGGTCATCGGGCCGCCCACCTGAGGTCAAATGCTGCAGAGAAGCCAGGGGGAAAAGGGCATATGGTGCAGGACGTCCACAGCCGCCCCAGCTGAAGAGTATTAAGGAGAGGACAAGGCGCTCCTGGAGCAGTGCAGAGGCTGGCACAGAAGACACAGAGGCTGTGTGTCCCTGCAAGGCGTCCTTTTACTGGTAGATGACCTTCACGCAAAACGTCTCTTCATTTTTGTCTTCATGGTCGTTGATGTAGATCAGAATCTCCTCCTCCCCAGGACTCTGACTTGGGGCAAACCGGAGGCTGATTGTGTAGGTCTCGCCTCCTCCGACCTGGGAAAAAACCAAACCAAACCAGCTGCCATCAAGTCGACTCAAACTCCTGGCGACCCTGAACGTGCCAGAGTAGAACTGTGTGCCACAGGGTTTTCAATGGCTGCTTTTTTTTTTTTTTTTAACCTTTTACTCTGCCACCACCACATTTCATATGGAAGCCACTCAATAATTCTATCTCCCCATGCTTAACACCTTGCTCTTTTGTTTGGAATATCTTCCTTACCAAGATGAATGGGTAAAATCTATGTATACTTGAATGAATTGAACTGAATGCATAAAATTTGCAAACTAGTCGAGAAACTGAGTCGAGGGAGGCAATTCAGACAGAAGTCAACAGTGAAGTCTTCAAGTCTCAAAAGGCACAGGGTATTTTTACTGGAAGTGGCTGGTTGACTCACAGAGGAGGTCTGCTGGGGGCTAGTAGGAAGTACAGTTGCACAGACTGAGAGAGCAATGGCTGCTTTTTCAGAAGTAGATCTCTAGGCCATTCTTCCAAGGTGCCTCTGGGTGGGTTCAAACTGACAACCATTTGGTTAGTAGTCAACCAGTTAACATTTGTGCCACCCAGGGACTCCTCCAACCTGGAAAGAAGTGTCAGAATCACAGCAGTCAACGCTGAGCCTGTCGTGCTTTCTTTTCTAGCGTACTTCATGCACACTGACATTTATTTCAACCGGACACCAGGTCACATTGGCCGAGGAAGGATTTTAAGTCCCTTTTGGGTGCATCCAATGCCTAGCCTAAGACACTGCTGCTCCCGCAGCCGGGGAGGATCGGAACCAGGAGGCCAACCCAGGGCCCTCAGGGACACAGTCCAGTGACATGCTAAAAAAAAAACAAAAAACCATTGCCTTTGAGTCAATTCCAACTCATGGCGAACCTATAGGACAAACTAGAACTGCTCCATAGGGTTTCCAAGGAGTGGCTGGTGGAGTCGAACCGCTGACCTTTTGGTTAGCAACTGAGCTAGTCAGACCCTGATGTCAGCCTATTTTCTTAAACGTATTTTCCAATATTACTGGGAAAACCCTGGACACACCCGCTCTTGCCCACACTACGAGGAGAAGCTGCAATCAACGTCCTCTCCTAATGGATAGAGTGTGGTCTGCTGCACTTCCTGTGCAGCCTTTACAGCAGACAGAGGTCGTCTGTAAGACAAGTGGTCTTTGGGACAGTCCTAGATAAACCGGCCAGACACCACAGGGAAGGAGGTGCTGGGCCTCCCCCCGCGATACGGCCAGGAAGGCAGGTCTTAGAAGAGCTGGCTCATCAGGAGCCCACCTACCATTTTAAGGATTTAACCCAAAGTAGAGAGTGCTGTTTTCCACATTTCAATGACTTTTTGAAGCCTGTCCCTCATTAACTGAATTGCTCCTCACTGTCGTGTCACACTTCTGGAACTGTCTGGGCTTCAGGAGAAGCAGGGCTCCCCAAGTCTCCCACCCCCATGAGTCAGCCCCACCAGTACCCAAAGTGGCCAGTACTCGCCCCCCGCACCTCAAAGGAGTCCTCCTTGAACTGCAGCAGGTCGGGGTGGTTGCTGTGCAGGTGGTACACCCTCCGGGATGGGTAGGGGTTGGTGTAGGTGATCCGCTTGTTGGCTCCCTTCCCTTCACCCACAGCCATCGTGATCTCAAAGGCCTGAGCATGGAGAGAGGGCAGGGGACGCTGTCACCAGTCCTGAGGCAACGGCCATCCGTGCCTTCTCAAAGTTCTCCCTGAGCCTGCTCTGCACCTGCGTGGCCCTCCAGCTGGGACACAGCAGAGACAGACAGACACGCTCTGCAGCTTCTGGCCGAGGGGACACAGATGGGAAACAAGCAAACACCCAGCCCCTGCCCGGCCTTACAGGGAAGGACCTCCTCCCCGGGACCAGTGGTGACAGCCAGGTGACACCTCATTGCCTGGATTACACGGCCATGTCTGGGGCCCACCAGTGCCGGGCTGCCTCCGCACGTCAGCACTGACCTTGGAAATGAGAGGCTGGCGGCACGAGAGGCAGATGAGCCAGGAGGCCACCAGCTGGTGGAAGTCCACATCGACGAGGTTGAGGTGGACGAACCTGCTGCCGGCCCGGCGGGGCCGCACACCCACATGCAGGTCCAGCACGCCATGAGGGGGCAGCACAAAGACACCTTGTGGGTCCATCTCAAGAAACACAGGAGAGAAGTGAAGTCAGGGGTGCGCTCTCCCACATTTGCAAACAAGGAGTAACCCAGAGGCCACGTGGGGCGGACAGGTGGGAAAGGAGCTTCCATCCCCTGAGCAGAGGACCCGGGGGCCTGCCTGAAGGGTCTGGCTCAGGGCAGCACGGCCAGGTCCTGCATGCTGTCAGATGCAGCCACAGGGGAAACCTGAACTCCCAAGTCAATACGACAGCATGTCATGGTCCGTGACGGGCCGGCCCTTCCTCCCACGAGCGGCTCCTCCCCGTGTTCTGCCTCAACAGAGATGAAGCTCAGACAACTTTCCACTTAAACACTGGCCCACCAGGAGAGCACTGGCATCTCCCTCACCATCCAGATGCATGATTACACAAACAAACAAACAACTAGCTGCCGTTGAGTAGACTCCGACTCATGGTGAACCCAGGTGTGTCAGGGTAGAACTGTGTTCCATAGAGCTCTCAGTGACCGATTTTTCAGAAGATCACCAGGACTTTCTTGTGAGGTACCTCTGGGTGGACTTGAACCTCCAACCTTTCCGTTAGCAGCCGAGCACATTAACCGTTTGCACCACCAAAGGGACTTTAGATACATAATTACGGCTACATCTACTCCAGAGCAACTATTAATATTTAGCTTTCAGTAATTGTGAAGGTTTGCCTTTGCGGTTTACGTCAGTCATCCTATGAATGACACACTTAGTAAAAGGCGATTTTGGTGAAGACTCTGGTAAAAAATGTGTTCAGTTATAAAAGGTCTTGTAAGAGTCTATCACCAGGACCAACCCTTGAGCTATGCTGAAGCCCCCATCGCGATCACGTCTGGGGCCGGGCCACAGGCAGGGCAGGGAAAGGCAGAGGTCAGGCCAGTGGCCCCCTAGCCAGGCTGTACCTTCAGCTCCTGGGGGTGTGAGGTGAAGGCTCTCACTTTCCTAACTGTCTGTGTCCCCCGAAGGACCAGGGACAGGCGGGTCAGCTGGCCTGTGACGCAGGAGACGTCCACACGCTGCAGGGAGTGAAGGTGGACCTGCCAGATCTGGACAGGTGCTGCCAGCCAGCGATCCCTGCAGCAGAACAGAGGGGTCTGCGCCTGCCCGAGGACAGGGGCCCTGGCGGGGGTGGGGGGAGGCTTGGGGAATGGACTCCTGGTGGGAAGGGCGCCATGGGGGACAGGAGCCCTGGGGGATGGGAGCCCATCATGAAGGACAAGGCTGGCAGCACTGAGCCAACTCCTGAGAGCTGAACGGGAACAGAGGCAGGAAGTGTTGCCTGTCCACGGAGGCCAGAGGGAGGGAGCGGGAAGAGGGGCTCCAAGAAGGACATGGGGTGGGCCCAGCTGCCCTCCCTTGTCTACCTCCCACCTAAACTGGAACGTTCTAAGGCAGCTGTGGCCTAGTCTTCACTCTGCTGTGTGGCACCGGGGCCCTGCCTGGCCACAGTGGGTGTCTAAGAACCAAGTGAACAACTGAACAACAACGGGAGCTTTTGCCAAACATGCAGCTGGGCAAGCTCAAATCCCAAAGCAGTGTCCTGAGGCAAAGCCCAGGGGCCACGCAACAGCTGGGACTCAGGCCTGGACACAGCGGGCTCCAAGACTGTTGCGGGAGACCCTGCATCCACTTCTCAGGTGCTGCCAGACCCCACCAAGACCCTGCTCTCCACCGCCATCGGGCCTGTATGCGGAATGACTCTTCAGTGTCCACGCAGCACACAAGGGGCCTAGGGCAGCCCCACCCTAGGGCGCGGTTCCTGCCATGCTCTCAGACAAGCAACAGAAGTCTTCCAGCTTGAACCAGTTTAAAAGGGAACTCAAAGGGTTGGGAACTAGGACTTCTGAGGAAAAAGTAGAGGAACTGAGCTCTTTCGCCTGGGGGAGGAAAGTAAGGAGGATTCCATCCCAGTCTCCAGGCATGAAAAGGATGGTAATCAGCCAGTGCGTATCTCCCTGGGGGTGGACACGGCTTAGGTGTCCACAGAAGAAGTTCTGCTTTGACACTCGGCAGGAGAATAACTAGGCTGCTGGGCGTCACAGGGTGCAGAAGGGGTGGAACTGTCACATCTCTTTCCTCAGGGCCTGGCCCACCAGGTGTGAGCCTAAGGGGAACCAATGGGTCCCTGGAGAGTGGCGCCCACACCTCCACAGCCAGGCCGGCCGTCTGTGCCACCCAGAGAAGAAAGGATGCCTCCCAAGGCACCTCCTAAGGCTCCTCCCAGCCCCAGAACCTCAGCTCCCATCCCGAGTGATGCCACCCACAGCTGCCAACCTGCCACCTTACCGATTCTCCCACCACCTGCAGACGGGAGTTTGTTACTCACACGTAGATGGTGACAAAGAAGTCCTTTATCTCTGGGCTTGGACCACTGGCCACCTTCAGGAACACATCTCGGGGCTCCCCGGGGCCCTGCCAGCAGACAAGGCAGCCACTGGTGCACACACCGTGGTGCACTCTGCCCTCCCTATCCCAGTATCCAGATCTGTGCAGAGCGAAAGCGGGTGACAACCAGGCCCCCTGCCCCCAACAAACTCATTCATTTTCGGTACTCATCAGAATTCACTTTTTTTTTTCACTGCAAAAGAGAAGATCATTAACCTCTTGATTTTACATTGATTTTGATAATTATATTTTGCAGGAGATTTTATCCAGTTTCCTAATCAGCCCTAATACAATTATTGCCTTTCTCCTTTACACAATGGCAATTAATAAAGGCCTTAATTACCATCCACTCTATTCCCTTTGCTTCGTGCCTTTTTTTAATTTAAATTCAGATGATTAAGGAACTGATCCACTAGCAGAGAAAAAAAATGAAAACTCATTCACAAAACTCTCACAAGGACATCAGCACAGCCCTCAGCACCCTGGAAGAAGCATATAGCCCAGAACCGCAGATAGAGTGTCAGGAGCCAGGGGTAATGACGGGGGCATGGGTGCTGTGAGGGAGCCCCAGCTGAGAGGCACACTCCCCAGACAGGGGCCACAATAGACATACCACATTCTGGGTCTCACAGATGACATTGGGGTCACTACATCGAACATGGATTGGGGGGTCCTCGCCGGGGGGTCCCACAGGGGCGCCTGGAGAAGGAAAAACAGCAGAACAAACAGACATCTTTCTCAACAGCCCAGCCAGTGTGGCAGACAGCCCTGCGGCATGTCATGTCTCCGTCAGTGTCCAGGGTGGGAATGGCCTGACACGGGGTCAAAAGAGACTTGCAATGAAACCTCAGTTTACACCTGCAGGGACACCATGGCCACTTCTACTCCAGCCTGGCCCACTTTTAGCCACCTCCTCAGAGACTCCTCAGAGGGACTTGAAAAGTGACCTGAAAGTAACTGGTGGTCCCATCTAGCAGGGGACCTGGTTCTGAAGGCACCTGCTGGGAAGTAAGTGAATCCCAGGCTAAAGACTTGAGCGTCGCACAGGCCACCTGCCCCACACTTGTGTCTGATGTGGTAGACCTGAGCTGAGGCACTGTGATTTTTAGAAGGGCAGACTCATCCTGGGGGAGGGAAGGAAAGCACCATTTCAAACAACAAGGTAGGTGTTCACCTGGCATTCACTGATGTGCATCGTGAGGTGGCGTCCTGCCACCTGCCACCTTGGGGCAGCACGAACACTTGCCTGGAAGCATGTGCCATGGGGGCAGGCGGATGGACTTCTTCAGGAAGGTGAGCTCCGGGTGGTAGAAGCGGAAGATCTGGTCCACCACATGGGGCTGGGGCTCCACGGCCAAGCAGAGCACGGCCAGGGGCTTGCCGCTGCTGGCCCGGAAGGTGACCTGCGGAGAGAACAGACCCAGGTGGTGTCAGGACAGGCGTGGTGGCTCAGGGCAGATTCCTGCACCGTGTCTCCTCCAACGAGCACTAAGACCATGAGGTGGAGAGGACAGGGTGTTAGAAATGCAGGGGCAGAGCCTGTGGGGGTCCACATGGCAGGCCCTGATGCTCCCAGGGGAGACCATGCTCCAGAACTTGTGTTTACTGGCCCCTGGCTTTTTTTCTCACCTTTGTATCTTCAAACAATATTTTCTTTGGTTTTGTCTCTTTGGAACTCCTGTGAAAGGTATTAAATTTTAAGTATGCTTCTATGCCTTGTGTGGTTCACTCGACCTTATGTTTCTGCCTGGGAGCTCTCTGTGTGCTATGACATGCCCTCCAGGACCTAAATTCATGCACACGCACACACGTACACGCACACGCACGTACACACACACACGGACGAGGGAAGCATGAAGGGAGGCCAGGGAATGGAAGCTAGAACTTTCTGAATATATTCTATTTGGTAGTTTGATTTTTTGATGCATGTAAATGTTTTCATTAATTTAAAAACTAACATTAGTTTTTTGTTTGATTTTTAAAAGAGGATCCCTATATATTGAAATACATAGGGTCGCTATGAGTCGGAATCAACTCGATAGGCAATGGGTTTAGTTTTTTATATATATAGAAAACAAATTAAAACAAATGAACCTAACCATGTATCAAGTTGGTGATATAATAACCCAGAGAAGAATTCTTTAAAGCAAATTTACAACATAGTATTTTGACTACACATCCCTAATGAGATACATCCTAAGGACAGAAAGAAGCACTCAGAATTCTTACTACAGTGGTCTTGCTAGTGGACTGCTACTTTGAAAAACATACACATACATACAGCAGCAAGGTCAGTGGCACCAAGGCCAAGCGGGTTTGGCCAGTGTGGTGAGCAGACTGGTCACATACAGGAACTAGGCAAATAAGTAAATATACTGGAGATGATGGGAGTCTTGACCCTCGCTAGAAGAAGTGAGAACTACAAATATGGAACAAAGGACAGCTAGAGGAAAACCTGTAGTGTTGGACTGGTACTGGAGGCACTGGTATGATTCATAGTCTTTAACATATAGACAGATATAGACCTCAATGCACATGTATGTGTGTCTGTGCCCATACATGTGTATAAATGTACATGCGCCTACATACATGTACCACTTGGCGTTCTCTGCTGAGAGGAACTTAAAATCAATTACACCTCAGTAGCAATAAGCATACCCAGTACACAGATCTTGGTTTCTAAATACCTTCTCCACTAAGAGGAAGCTTGGATAAATGGCTGATTCCAGACTGGCACAGGGAAAGCATAAGATGAGACTGGAACAAAACCATTGTACCAGAAAGTAAGGAAGTACTCAAAGAATGACAAGGACATGTGGAAAAGACACAGGGTCCAGAATGAAGGGGCTGCCATAGTCAATCTGGGACATATGACAGCAAAATACAAACAATGATAGCAACAGATTATAACCCACTGAATAAAAGAGGAATTCATAGTTCACAGGATATGACAAATAGACTAACAGGGTGAAGGCAAAGCTCTATCTTACTTAGAACGCCAGCTAATAAGTATAGACGGAATGTGAAAGCTGAGATCACCACTAGGCAACCATCCCAGCAGTAACTGAGTCAGGCAAGGGTCGCCAATGGATGCTAAACTAGTGGGTGATAGTCTGATGAGGAATAGGGTATGTACGTGGTCTCAGAGTATCTCTGGACAAAATACTCTTTAGTTACTTTCTAATTACTAAGTACAAAATACTTCTTAGTTAATTTTACTGTGAGAAGCCTGGCAGATACCATCTTAACCAATGAAAAAGTTAACATCACCAGTAATAGGACAAATCAACATGGTGCCCCTCTTGATGAGATGTTCTGGAAAGAACACAGCAAAACTGCTGAGTTTCCTGCCCAAAATGCATAATCTGCATCTAGTCACAGGGAAACATCAGATAAACCCAAACTAAAGGCATTCATTCTACAAAATAAGTGGCCTGTACTTGTGGTTGTACTTGTCTTGGAAGAAGTACAAACAGAATGCTCCTTAGAAGCAAGGATGGCGAGACTACGTCTCACATACTTTGGACATGTTATCAAAAGGAATCAGTCCCTGGAGAAGGACATCATGCTTGGTAAAGCAGAACATCATCAAAAAAGAGGAAGACCTCAGAGCATAGAAAAGGAAGCAACACTTCCAAATTCATTCTATGAAGCCAGCATAACGCTGATAGCAAAACCAGGCAAAGACATCACAAAAAAAGAAAATTACAGACCAATATCTCTCATGAATACAGATGCAAAAAT